TGCAGAGGTCTGCAGGGAAGGCTGAAGAAGGGCAGGGTGGGGAAAGTTCCTTAGGAGAGATGATGGGACGCTCAGGAATGGTCTCTGGGTTTAAGGAGTCACACACTCTTCACCCAAAGCAGCGGGAGCAGCTGAGCAGGTCACCCCTGCAGCTGCTGCCTAGGAGGAGGGAGTTCTGGGGCTCATTCCGCATCGGGAAATGATGAATGACAGGCTTTGGCAGACAGGAAGAAAGAGGTTTCCTTGCACATTTGGGGCAGATGGGGCAGAGGATCAGAAATGAGGCCTGAAGACTTAAAGTGCCAACGACAAAAAAGCTGAGTCAACCTAAATAAACTGGGGACAGTGGGTGCGTGGAGCAGACTAGAAGGCAGAGCTGTAGAAGCTCGGTTGGTGTGGCACAGTGCTAGTGAGGAACAGGACAGGCAGGGCTGCTAGTATATTCTACACCTGGACTCACCTCCTAACTAGACCCACTTGCTAATAGATGCCAGACAAGCCACTGAATATTCTCTGGTTTCCTAAATCCGAAAGCAAAGGTCTGAACCATAATCCGAGGGATGCACGGTAGTCCAGCAGGGACACAGGATTTTCATGGTCACCCAAGTGTTAACCAAGTATTTTGTGGCTCTAGAAGTCACATGCATCCTTTTCAGAAGATGGACCTCTATCATAGTGGAACCTAAGTTCTTTAGTTAAAAACAAAAATGGTGAGAAGTATACAGGAGATTGAGATTGGAAGCATTCATTGACTTCTGCTGGTCTTTCCGGTTATAATTAGTCAATGACTTCTCCATGCATAGACACCAGGAAAAGGAAGCTCTTAAGAGCAATGGGCTCTCAGGATGCTATAAGGAAACTTGTATGTTCTTCCCGATCTCTTTTTAAGAGGCTGAATCCTCATAAGAAAAACGAACAAAAAGAACTCTTATTAAAATGGATCCATGCCACATGGCTACCCTACTGGTAGCCTGAAATCCTGTGGAGAGTTCAGTAACTACACTTCTTGGACAAGATCTAGTAAGACCGCATGCTGGATTCTCCCCCTCACCGAATTTCAGGACTCTAGGGGATCAGGTTCCTTTACACAAAGTCTTGCAGGATCTGATAAGTATGAGGGCAACACAGAAGTCACCACACCAGGTGTCCCTCAATGTAGCTAGGAGAGAAGGAGCCACCACATGGAACATGATTATTCACAGGTCATCATGACAAAAGATGGTAACAAACAGAGAGAGGGCACCGAATGTGCATAATTTTATGTTCCCTTGGCATCCATTTTAAATATAAGTGGGAGTTTCATTCCAGAAGCAAGGCTCTGTCATCTTGACAGTTTCCAGTTCTAGTCACTGTACCCCCAGTTCCTCAACGTGGTCGATCCAGACATCTGCTTTACACAGCTGCTGTCTGGTGACGACCTCGGATAGCTAGAGGCGGCCTGCTGCCCTCGAACCCCATGAGGACTGTGATATGCCACAGTGACTCAGTCCCTGCATGGCCTCCTGCAACCCCTGCCTGCTTGCTTTCAGTCCATCAGTTATAGCTCCCTACAGGAAACCTGTGTGACTAACACTCTTAACACAATAAAGGTAACTGGCCATGGGTTCCTCTCTCCCCTGCCTATGTGCTCTGGCCTGTGTGTGTGTGGCCTCCAGGGGTGCGCTATATCCCCCAGGGTCCACAAGTACTAAAACTTCTTAAACCCTCACACTGAGCTTGTGTCATTAAAGGCCCACAATCCGACCCCTGTCTGGGAGCCTGTCCCAAAGGGACCTGTGCTTGTGGATCTCTTGCTGGTGCTTGTCTGGGCCTCTTGTGGCTGCTGGGGACAATGCTATCAGTTAAATTAATAATGAAACTCAAGGAACTCCATCCAAAACAGAGCAGCTGCACATGTGCTCATCTATATGCCTCCTTATTAGGACAATTGCTGGTAACAGTCACCCTATCTCTGCCCTACAGATGTCCCAGTGCTGATGTACAGTAGGCATTCCATAAGCCTTTCTTAAGTAATTGAAAGAAACCGGCTCATTAAAAACAGAATGAAGTCCAGAGTGCAACACTAAGGTAGTAAACAAATCACAGGAAAGAATGAAAATGTACCAGAAATAAATTATTTGACAAATATTTACCAAGTACCTCCTAGGCTCCAGAGATACCAAGATCATCAGGTATAAATGGAAAAGTGCCCCAACTCCTCCGCAAATCTCTGAATATCTCTTACCCAAATCCCTTTATATAGATTTCTTGCTCACAACAATGGTCCCAGTTTTCCTGGCCCACTGACCCCTGCCTCTTTTAGCTGTGTGCCCTGGAACTCTGCTTGGCAAACTGCCCTCATGGTTGCAGATGGCATGCTCTCTTACGTGATGGAGCTAGACCTGCCTATTCCGCATGGATCCTGCCTTCCCAGTGGCCCCCACATGAAAATGATTCATTCTTCCTTCCGTTGAGGCTGCGGTGGGGACTTGGCAGCTCTTGCTTCTCTTGCTCCCTGAAACACTGCTCTTCTAGCCCCTGGTAGAAGTTCACAGAGGTGTATTACCTTGTACTCCTCTTCCCAAGCAGCAGTTCTACAAGCCAGGAATTTAAGATTCAAAGGAGATGAGGCAGGCAACGGAGCTGGACGCATAGTAAGGCTACCCCACTAGGACACCATGTGAAGGGTGAACTGGAGAACTGTACACTGGAGCCATTGGTTACCAGGCTGGGTTACTTTAGATTCAGGTCTCTTTTCATATAAGGATAGTAAATAATCAGATATATCCTTTAGAAAAACAATTCTGGCAAAATTATGGTGAAACTGGTATGGCGTAGAGAACCCTGTTAGATGTTATCATGGAGGCCTCTGTGAATGGTGACGTCAGTCTACCAGGATTTTTGTGCTGGAAATGGACAGAGATGGGGAGAGAGACACTGAAGAATTTTAATCAAATGGGCTTGAGGATTAGCTGGATTTGCGGGTGGTGGGGATGGGAAGAATCCATGAACAATGACCCCAAAGTTTCTAGCTCGGGTCACTGAATAGATACAAACACCAGTAGGAGAACTGGAAAAAGATGGTTGCAGGGGAGTGGAGATATGGAGACTAGTTTTGACGAAGAAAATTTGGATAATAAGCAGGCAATTGAGCATGGAGCTACAGGAGCATGGAGCTGAGCACGAAGCCACACTTTGGTTCTCTCCATTGGTAGGCTGGCCCCTCTGCATTGAGTAAGCCCCTGACAGTCAAGGATAATTTGGGGTGGGGGGGGATGGAAGACATCTTATAAGGAGATACTAGATCTTCTCCTAATCTAGCATGTAGAGAACTCAAAACATTCATTTGTTACTAAATATTTTTTTAGAAATGACTTCATATGGTCATATGGTTTCAAGCTGGTAAAGTGAGTCAAACCTATCCCTGAGGCAAGTAACTGTACTCTTGATCAGAACCAACTGACTCGCTCTCCCCACACACCAGTCTCAAATCCATCATTCGGTGCCATGCTCGGTAACTCACCTGGGCAGAAAGGACTGAGGGTGTCTGAAAGAAGTGGGGTCCAATCCTACCTCTACCTACACTCAGTATGACACTATCATGTCCCGTTTTGTCGTAGGTTTAAGAGGCCCTTGAGAAACTTGAGGAGATAATGAAAAAGCCAACTGAACAGATGAAAGGAACAGGAAAGATGAGGAAGGGTTGGGTTCTTTCACTAACAAATAAATGGCTGCTTAGTGACTTAATTATCCCTAAATATACTATGGAGTATTATGAGTAGGACATTGTTCTTTATCAACAAGAAAAACAATGAACTGAAAATGCAGCTTCCAGCCTGGAGGTCAGGCCACAGATGCGCGTAAAGAGCTGGCCTTTCCAGTTCGTAAATAGCAGAAACAGCGCAGAAGCATCTGCCAGAGAGGTGGCAATGAGGATGCTTCCCTGTGGTAACAAAAAAGTTCTGGAGGTGGACACACAACACTGTGAACATATTTTAAAGAAAAACACTTTCCAACTCTTTGCATTTTTGGGGGGTGGGGGCGTAACAGCATGCTAAAGAGAAAAAGTTGAGTTTATTAGTGAGAAATAATAAGATGACCAGGATTATACTATACGGTCCAAAATATTTCCTCTTAAAAACTCGTAGAGGTTGGTATGGAGCCTTGCTGTGGATAGACTGATGGGCAGCCTGTCAAGTAGGAGACAGGTGGGAGCGTGGAGCTAGAGCCTTCAGGCCTGCGGGCAGCTCTCCACTCAACCTCCATCAGTGAGATGAAAGAAAAGGAATCTGAAGCAGACCCTGTGCTTTGAGGACCTGAGACCTCATTCCAGACCCTGCTAATGTGCAGATGATATCAAGGTCCCGACTGGCAGCCCGCAGGGACCACAGCCATATTTATGAGGGACACACAAGACTGGGAGCCGAACTCAGCACCAAACACTGTGAAAAGCATCAGTCTATGGAACAGGGCAACGGTTTTCCAAACAAGCCCTTTTTTTTCCCAATTGCAGTCTAAAGTGGGACCCCAATAAATAAAGAGCAAAGCTCTGCTGAGGAGACTGCGCCAGAACGGGGTTCCCGAAGCCGCGCTGAGAGGACGCTCGAGAACTCTAAGGGTTCCACACCTCACAGTCTGAATGGCACGGAAAAGGAAAGGCCGAAAAGTGGCTAGAGAATCATTTCATTGGTTGAATCAAATACTATGAAAAGGAGATACACAAATGTATCTCCATGTGCCTGAGAACCCTGCTCAGCAGAGAACGACAGGTAGAAAATAATTGAGCAACCCTGTGTCTACATAGCATTTACATTTAAAGGACAGCTAAGATCCTTTCAAATCTGTTGTGATACTATCGGGTTCACTCATCCACTTAATAAATATTTATTGTACTACTACTAAATATGAGACCCAATGTGACCGAAAAAAAAAAAAAAAGAAAAGAAATGATACACAGTCTCTTCCCTTCAGGAGTTTATAGCCTAGCATGGGAGACAAAGGAGTGTGTACACAGTTCTAAGAGGATAATGGGACTCTTGTGATGCATGGGCAGGCGTAAGTGGCACAGGGTCAGCCACGGCTGGGGGCAGGAGCGCTCTGTAATCACTGCTGGAGATGTGAAGCCAGGACAGGCACCAAGGGGGAATGCCGCGGGTCCTAGCGGGGAAAATAGGCACTGAAAGCCAAAAAGGCACAAAGGGCTCGAGATGGGTATTTAGGGTCCAAAAGAGCAAAGAAATACCAGGAAATGAGGCAAGAAACAGCCGTGCAAAATGAGCCACCAAACGGCTTCTCACCTTTGCCCTCAAACAACACCAAAAGCCAAAGGAGAGTAAGTAATCTATGAGAAGTTTGCGGGCAGAGTCCTAGGAGGGAAATAAGGAACAAACCATTTTCTTAGACGTCCTTAATGTTTTCTTTTAAAAAGTGAAGGCAAGTATTGTCCTATACGCGCCTTGTTTTTGCATTTCATTTTAAAACAACCTTCTATCCACCAAGATGCACAGCTTCCTACGGACCCTGGGCCCCAGCACTGGGCACCCCCGGTTGGTTACAAGTTTGCCAGCTGACAAGCAGGGCCAGGGGTGGGCGGGCTGGCCCATCACAGAGGCAAGGGCTGGTGCTTGTGAGTCAGGCTCTGCAACGTCACCAGCGACACTTCCTAGGAGCACAGTTAACGGTGCCCATGACTGAGCAGAGAAAACTAAGGGAATACATGATGAATGCCTCAGAAATCGCGTAAGTGACAAGTGTTTCAGGAACTACAGAGATAAAGAGATCACTTTGCCCTGGGAGGACTACGTGTCACAAAGATGGCAAGACTGAGGTGGTCCATCAATAACACTAGCGTTTCCATGGGCACTTTGGGGAGGAGAAAAGAGAATGGCACTGAACAAAGCTTGACGGCAGAGAAAAGTGAAGGGCAGTGGTGAATAAGCGAACTTAGCTGGAGCTAAGGCAATGAATGGGGCAAAGTCAAAAACAAAAGGACCCTGACACTGTGACTTTATCCTCAAAGTGACAGGAGATCAATGAAGATTTTTGTAAGAGCTATGGGACACAGAACTACCCAGTGAACTCAAAGATTTCTGTCTACTGATTTCTCCTCCAAATGTTCTTATATCATGGAAAACAAAGTTTTATTTCAGAATCAATATAGCATGGCTGTCCAGTGTTCCCTGAGGAGTAACTGCATCCAACGTTAAGCAGCGCGGTCTGAAACCACCACTTCGAGTAATGTTCAAGAACAATCAAGCCAAAGAATCTAATCTCAAATGCATGGAAGAGGTCTTATAAATCAGTAAAGAAGATGACGCATACTAGTAACGGAAGAATGGGCAAAGGACGTGAACATGTAATTCACAAGAGAAAAAAATGATCAACGCAGCTTTTTAAGTATCTTATCTCCCTAATTATTAATGTAATGAAAATTAACATAAAAGTCCTTGTCTTTTCATGTAATTATAGATTCAAAAAGCCCATTTTTAGTGATAGTTTAGGGTCCCAGGAACTCTCATATGCTGTTGGTAGGGATGTAATTAGGCAAAACCTTTTTGGGGCAGAATATGGCAATTTCACTTGCCAAAATTTATCCTACAGAAATATTCCAACAAGTACCTACGAACGTTCACTACAGCATCATTGTACAAGGGAAATAAATGGGAACAACGCAAACATTTATCATGAGAGAAATGAATTATGGTACAGCAGTAGAATGAAAGTAGGATATTTCATATCTGCAAAGGGTAAAATAGACCCGTCTAGTCATTTGAAAGTATGTGCAAGACAAATTAGAAGCTTCATGAAAGTTGAGCTCATGATCATCTCATTCACTACAGGACAAGTAGGGGCTAAATCTGCCTGGCTCCAAGTAGGCCATCAATATGAGTGAAATAAATGAAGATTAGGTTAAGTGAAAAAAGTTGCAACACGTTATACAGCATAGTTCTATCTTCTTTTTCTGTGACACACACATATTTCACGCACACCTCTACTGGTAATAGTGGTTATCAATGGAAAGTGTGATTGGGACAAGACTTTCTAAATTTTTATTAAAAAACAACAACAACAACAAAACTAGTCAAGGGTGGGGCGTGGTGGCTCATACCTGTAATCCCAGCACTTTGGGAGGGCACCAGGGTGAGTGGATCACTGGAGGTCAGGAGTTCACGGCCAGCCCGGCCAAGACGGTGAAACCCTATCTTTACTTAAAAAATACAAAAATAAGCCAGGCGTGGTGGCAGGCACCTGTAATCCCAGTTACTCAGGAGGCTGAGGCAGGAGAATCATTTGAACGCGGGAAGCAGAGTTGGCAGTGAGCTGAGATGGCACCACTGCACTCCCGCCCGGGCAACAGAGTGAGACTCCATCTCAAAGACTCTCCCAAACCCCCCAAAAAATTAGTCAAGTGTATTAATGAGAAGGGGAAAACAGAGGAAGAAGGAGTTCGACCTACAACTCACTGTGGACAATCAGCTGAGGTAACTCACTAACTTCAGACCAGCCAGGAGCTTTTACTTTTTACTTTGTTTTCCACTTTATAAATTTTAACTTTAAAAATGGTTTCAAAATGAATATATATGACTGTTTTGAAGGAAAAATAATCTAGAAGAATTATTTACAAACTTTTCCTTGTGGTGTTCTCAAGCTGGGTATTAGGCAACTGGTCGATGCAGCTGTGGACCTGAACACATCACCATCAAACTGGGCAGGAAAGACTCAGCAGCGGCTAGAGACAGCAGCAGGGAAAGTCAGGAGGGGAGGGGCTGGGGTGTAGTGTGTTCTGTAATCCCTGGAAGACATGCCTAAGATCAGTTTCTCTTGAAGTTCATTACAAGTCATGTATCCTTAAAAGGCATTTGGATGTATTTAAGGGAAAGCGTGTTAAAGCCATTAATATCACTTACAGAGCACTTAGTATATACCAGGCCTCTGGCGAGCACCCTGCCACATTTAATCCTGACACCAAGCTAAGAGGTTCGAGCACTGACATATACATTTTACCCAGGAGAAGCAGAGACTGTGAGGTAGACTGTGTCAAACCATCCTCACCACAACCTTCTGAGGTCCTCCCGTTATTATCCCTGCTTTTCTGATAAGGAAACTGAGGTGTAGTCAGATTAAAAATTTGTCCAAGGTTACACAGCAAATACTAAAAATGGACCCAAACCCAGGTCCATCTGACTGCAATGAAAATCCAGTTTAAAAAAAATACAAAAATAGAGACAGAATGAAATAGGAAAGGGCAAAACTAAGACTCCAAGCTCCAGAGAAAGGGTAACATGTACTGAAAGCAAAAGCCAGGGAGGACAGAGCCAGGCTTCCTCCTTGTGGGCTCCGGGGATGTTTCACTAAGGACACTGGGATCCAAACTGCAATTTCCTGACACAAACAGGGATACGACATCTTGATGTCCTACGTAACTCACCATCCAAATGGAATTCAGTGTTCTGATATGATTTAGAAGAAAGGAAGCAAGTAAGGATGGGAGGGGGAGAGAGGAGTCCACGCTGATTATATGCGAGTAAGAAAAGGAGGCGAGAGATGAGGATGATGGGTTTGAGTGCATTACTGGGAGGTTAGCGAATCACTAGCAAGTGAAGGGAGGTCAGGTTTTGGAGGAGGAAGGGGTGACATGTTTGCATGTGTAACTGTTACGTGTTGGTGTAAAGTGAAGCTCACTACACCTGTGTGAATGCTGGCAGATGGCTGAAGGCACAGAATGGGACTGTCATTGGAAGCATTTGCTCAGAGAAAACAGGTGGAGCCACACTGTGTCTTCTGTCCATGCCTTTGTCCTGAAGTCCTCTCCTCCTAGACTGTCCTACTTCCTTCCCCTTGGCTCCTGGCAAAATCAGCTCAGAGATCACTGCTTCCAAGAAGTCTTCCCCAGAACAATTTAGTTGCACAAGAAATTTTAAGAGTCAAAAAGGAGAAGCGTTATTAGCAAGACTGAGTGGGTTTTACAGTTAAACACCTATCCAAGGCAGGATCTAAGGTGTGCCTTGTCCCTTCTCTGATTTCCTCTCCAACAGAGATCTGCATTGGATGCATCAGGCTTCTGGGTCCCTATGCTGCACTGCTCTACCAAGCTGCTCAAGAACTAGCTGAATGGCAGGAAGGGCTCCATTTGTGAGACAAACCAGTGTCCAGGGGGCTGTCACAACAAGACACGGGTGCCGTCTGAACTAGCTGGTACCGTAACTACCTAGATATATTAGCACACATGGTGGAAACAAGGAAACCACCAAACCAAACCATCTTCACAGATTCTGACTTAGTTGCACTGCTCCAAACTAAGAAGAATGAGGCTCAGATATTTCCTTTTAAATTGGAAATTGGGACTTGGGAGGCTGCGGCAGGAGGATCACTTGAGCCCAGGAGTTTAAGCATGCAGTATGGTATAACTACACCTGTTAACAGGCTCTGCACTCCAGCCTGGACAGCATAGTGAGATCCTATCTCTTACAAAAAAAACAAACTGGAAACTTGACCCACGTGAAGCCTGTTAGTTCTACAAAAGGCAAAGACGAAATTAAAGTTTATGTTCATGATTCTTTGAAACACATAGCAAAAGTCTCCAAAGGCTGACAACACACCAAGGAAAAAATAGAACAAGATTATAGATTAAGAGCTGCTTCTGAATTCCCACAGTAACATAGGTCTTGCCTTCATTGGACAAGAAAATGTTCATAATTTACTATTTGCAAAGAGACACCCTTTCAATAAAAGCTGAAATGTCGATCCTCTGCTTTCCTGCACAGGAAACTTCTGGAGTCTTGACACAGAAATGCAAATCAGCCATCCTTCTGGGATGTTAATTTCCATATCTACCTCATCGATCCGGTAAGTCTGAACACTATTAAGTACCATCTAGATTATATTTCTTCATTTAAATTTTTCATATATTCTGAGTTAAATACACATGCTATTGCACAATTTCATTTTCAATGTAAATACTATTAATGATGATGACAAATAGATCACATTCACAATGCCCTTTTCTTCCAAGGATCTCATGGGATTTGGGTAATTTTGGGCCCAAGGCACCCGGAGAATGGCAGCCTTCCCTGAGTGAGTCTTGTGGGAAATCTCTGGGACTAAGGCAATAGTACCTTAAATCAGTGGCTTTCCAACTTTTCTGGCCATGGTTCATAGCAAGAAATGCACTTTTCACGATGACTAAGAACTGACATACAGATACGTATACCATGCACAGAATTCTTTCTTTTTTTTTTTTTTTTTTTTGAGAAGGAGTCTCACTCTGTCACCAGGCTGGAGTGCAGTGGCACAATCTCAGTTTGCTTTGACCTCTGCCTCCCCGGTTCAAGTGATTCTCCTGCCTCAGCCTCCCGAGAAGCTGGGAGAACAGGTACCCACCACCACGCCCAGTATGGTCTTGATCTTTTGATCTCATGGTCCACCCACCTCGGCCTCCCAAAGTGCTGGGATTACAGGCATGAGCCACTGCGCCCAGCCCCATGCACACAACTCTTAACAAGAGTGTCATGAGTTTCTCTTTCCTGTATGCAGTGTACCTTGATGTTTTCTATCTTACTCTATTTCTTTCTTCTTCTTATTGCTATTGTTACTGTTGCAGCTACTGTTGGTGACAATCCACTAAACTGATACCATGACCTACTTACAGGTCACAACCACTAGTGTGCAAAACACTGCCTTCAGTGTCCACAGCTTTAGGACACTGGCCCAGGCCGTCTTCACGCCCTCCATGCTCTTCCCGGATCCACCCATCCTCTCTCCTGGCTCCACTGACCATCTGCACAAGAGGACTCCAGCCCAGGTTCCACCTCAAGGTGCCAGAGCCATACATCCAATTGCTTATCAGAGAGCCTCACTTGGACATCTTAAAAGCAATCTTTAACATCATGTCTAAAAATGTTATTTTATCACGACCCTCCCCCCGGCTGAGTAAACAGGCCAACTTAGCTATATGAGCCCAAAACCTGGGAGTTATTCCTCTTCCCCTCCCCACAGCTGACTAGTAGTCACCTAGTGTTGCTTCTCACAACTGTGAAGTTACTTTAGAACCCGACTGCTTCTCCCTACCACCACTCCATCCTTGGTATCCCTCAATGGGGCGACTGCCACAAGCCTTCAGAATTGCTCCCTCCCATTCGATTCTACCCTAAAGCTAAAGTGATCTTTCAAAAATGCAAATTGAATTACGGTGTGAACCTACATGGGGTACCAATACCCCAGGATGGAGCCGCAGCTCCCTGAGGCCTCCTTGCCTTTGCTCCAGCCCTGGCTCCTGCCGCATCTCCCCTATTCTATGGAGATAGCTGGCTCTCAGGTCTGGCTGCACATGAGAACCACTGGGGCAACTTTTAAAAAATAAAAGTGCTGGTTGGGCATGGTGGCTCATGCCTGTAATCCCAGCCCTTGGGAGGCCGAGGTGGATGAATCACCTGAGGTCGGGAGTTTGAGACCAGCCTGACCAACCAGGAGAAACCCCATTTCTACTAAAAATATAAAATTAGTTGGGCATGGTGGCACATGCCTGTAGTCCCAGCTACTTGGGAGGCTGAGGCAGGAGAATTGCCTGAACCCGGGAGGTAGAGGTTGCAGTGAGCTGAATTTGTGCCACTGTACTCCAGCCTGGGTGACAAGAGCAAGATGCCATCTCAAAAATGAATGAATGAATGAATGAATGAATGTGCTCAGGCCTCCCTTCAGAACGATTCAATCATAATCCAAGAAGCGACTGTCTGTGCAGCTCTGGCTCTGCCGAAGGCCTTCCTGTGTCTCAGAAGAGCCCGAGTACTGGTCCCCACATGCTGCCCCTTCTGTGTCCTCAGCCCCAACCCCAGAATTGCCCTTCAGGTCTCAGTTTTAAGGTCATTTTCTTAAGGGCCATATTCCTTACTTCCCCAGGCCTGGGAGGCCTCCTGTTCCATCCATATTGCCACAGCATCCTTAATTTCTCTTATCACAGCCTAGTGCATTCTGCAACCTTCCAGCCGGGCACAGTGGCTTCAGTAAGTATCTACAATATGAATATATTAACTTAAATTCTAACAAAAGATATGACGAGAAGACATGACTGAGGAAAGCTGATGGAAAAACCCCACAACTGATATGCAAGAGACAAACCCAGATCGGAGGCAACTGTGCAGCTCTCCTTTCTGTAGAGTGTGCAGTGGGGTGGCAAGCAGAGCCCATTTGGTGCTTAAATTCGGCCACATCTTCTCATGAAAGCCTTCCCGGAGAGACATGTCTCATCTCCAGCTTCCTCCTAGTTCATCGCAGATTACAGGTAGGAAATTCAGTTTCTCCAACCTCGACAAATGTGAAGACAAAGCTGCCTGTCTAGAATGACCAAGTAAACCAGGGAAGCTGGTTCGACCCAGGGCCACCCCGCTCCACCATGTGCTGGCACCAGGCCCTCCCTCCCAGCAGAGTTAAAAAGAGGAACGCGGAACTCGTAGAGAAATGCTAAAGCTAATATTCCTGCAGCAACTCCTCAACCACATTTCATGCTGTGTATATTAAGGTACCCATTAAAGTCTTGCTAGTAATCGAAAAAATTATCTATGTGCAGTGAGAATGAGTTAATGCAACAGAGGAACCTTAACTTCTGCATCTCCTGACTTTTTACTTTTAAGAGGTCCCTTAACCTTGCTTGCGTTTTGGTGGGGGTCTTCACACTTCCTGTGGAGGTGTGAAGTCATGGTCGAGGTATAACTCCATTCACCATGCGAGCAACTTCATGGTCTATTATGTTGCGTCAACTTTTTCTGTGAAAATAAATTGTTAAGGGTATTATTCCTGGAACAGAATAAATTCTTGGAATTACTGAGTAACTTATGTAGCATTCCACTGTTCCAAGAACACATTACTTATTTTATCATGACAATGTAAAGGTATTAATCTTTTGGCTTCCATTTCAACAATGAGAAATGCTGCAAGAAGCACAGACACCTGCGTTACATTCAGCTCGAGTTTATATCATCATAAACATCTCTGTTTTGGACACCGCAGCCAAACAAATGCTCGCAGAATACTCGATGTAGCATTCGAGTTTATGGGACTATGAAAGCTCCTTGCTGTTAATTACAGAGACAAATGTCTCATCACACATTTGGTTACCAGATAGCATAATTCGTTTTCTCCATTAACCTTTCAGATATAAAATTTGATTTCAAGTAAAAAACATTGTAAACCCCTTGGAATCCAGATAACACGGTGTATTTCTGCATGTTTGAAAAAAATGCAATCATAAGAAAACAATTTTATGGATTCTTATTTACAAGCATATTGGTTGCATGGAACACTGAAAGAAAATCTGTCTAAACTTTGTAATGATTCGAAAATATATTATCAAATATGTGTGCGATAAGCTATCCTTTGTAGATAAATGAGGCACAGTAACCTCACCCAGTGGAATGTCCCCTTTGACCTCTCTCTCCTAAGTATGGTCACAGGGCCAAATTGTTTAGTGCAGCCTCTCATCCGCTCCCCCTTCATCCTGGCATCTGTGAGACAATGGACCAGGGAGGTGTGTTGTTTAGTTGATGGCAATGGAATAGTTTTTTTCTTGTTTGAAGCCAAATTGCCTTCAGGATAACTGATCCCACAACCCTGGCCTGCTACGGGCGGTGCTGCAGAGGGCGCGTTTGACCGGCACAATGTTTAGACGGTGTGCTATCAACATTGATGTACGTTTATGCTGCCAACCTGTGGAGGCTGGGATGAAGACCTCATGTGCCACATGTGACAATACCGCACAAGGAAATGGCCTCAAGTCAACCAGTCGTCCCACTCTGATCTACTGATAACTGGAGGCGCATTACATTTTAACATGTTTAACACAGAACTCATTCATTTATTCAAAAATAGTTATTAAGAGTCTACTCTGTGCCTATTTATTTATTCAAAAATAGTTACAGGAATAGAGCACTGAATATTCAAGAGTCTTGCTCTGAAGGAATTCAAGCTAAGACTGGAAGGATAAATAAAGGATCATGGAGGCAAGGGTAGCTGAGGTCACTCTAGGCAAAGAGGCTGGTAGAGTGCATGCCTGGGTCACAGCGTTGCAAGATTCGAGGGGTGCTGTCCCTTGTGCCATGTGAGTCTGCGAGACCATAGTGTGAGACGGTGGAGGCTGGTTACATACGGGGCACAGTAGCGAATCCAATTTCAGAGTTAGATTTTAAAGAAGGGGGACTGCTACCTAATAAAACAGAAAACAGGCTAGGAGCAGTGGCTCACGCCTGCAATCCTAGCACTTTGGGAGGCCAAGGCAGGTAGATCACTTGAAGTCAGGAGTTCAAGACCTGCCTGGCCAACATGGTGAAACCCTGTCTCTACTAAAAATACAAAAACTAGCCAGGCATGGTGGCATGTGCCTATAATGCCAGCTACTTGTGAGGCTGAGGCAGGAGAATCACTTGAACCTGGGAGGCAGAGGATGCAGTGAGCTGAGACCACACCACTGCACTCCAGCCTGGGTGACAGAGTGAGTTCCATCTCAAAGAAAAAAAAAAGTTTATTTAACAAGTACTTATGATATTTCCTAGAATGTGCCAGACACTGTTCTGCAAACAAAAATGCAGAGATCAGGTTAAATGATAGCAGGACACACACAGGCTCTGAAGAACTGACACCAAAGGAGGCTCTTCGATTTCTAGTGCCAGAGCGCATTATATTTAAGTGTTCAAGTAAAGGCCATATTTTTCAGTCTCCATTGAAGACATATGTGACCGTATGAAAAATAAGGGTTGATTGGAATATCTGGTTATATTCTTTAAGAAGCAAGCAGAACAAATAAACAAAGCAAGCCCTTGCTGCCCTTGTGGGGTTTTCTGTTTGTTTCTGAGACTGCGTCTCACTTGTTGCTCAGGCTGGAGTACAATGGTGCTATCTCAGCTCACTGCAACTTCCACCCCTGCAGGCTCAACTGATATTCCCACCTCAGCCTCCTGAGTAGCTGGGACTACAGGCGTGCACCATGATACCTGGCTAATTTTTGTATTTTTTTGTATAATATTTTTTTTTTGCAGAAGAGTGGCAGGTGTGTCAATGAGGTGAGGAAGTGCACTGCCGAAAATGTAAGGAAGGGGGGCTGCTGCAGGAATGAAAGGTGGCCTGGTATGGTTGCACATGGAGGCCAGAGGGCAGTGTCAGGAATCAGCTGGAAGAAGTTGCCAGGGGGCAGTTAATGCAGGGTCTCAGCTGTCATGCTAAGAAGTGTAGGTACACTTAGATGATAAAGAATTTCAAGTATCATATCTCTAATCCCAGGACTGTGGGAGGCCAAGGCAGGAGGATGGCTTGAAGCCAGGAGTTCAGGACCAGCCTGGGCAACTAGGGAGACCCTGTCTCTACAAAATATCAAAAAGTTAGCTGTGTGTGGTGGTGCATGTCTGCTGTCACAGCTACGTGGGAGGCTGCGTAGGTTGAGCCCAGGAGTCGGAGGCTTCAGTGAGCTATGATTACACCACTGCACTCCAGCCAGGGCAACAGAGTGAGACCTTGTCTCTGAAAGATGGAAAAGAGTTTCAGGCGGAGGAGCAGCCCAAGTTGCAGACAATACTCTGAGGAGCCTAAAGGCACAGTGAGGATGGAAGGCTGCAGGCTGCAGGCTCAGGTCTCTGCCCTGCCCCAGCCCCGCCCCAGCCCTGCTCCCCTCTACTGCGCAGGCACTACTGTCCGGGTTACTTTCTCTGATAATCTGCTACTCAGAAGGATAAGGAACTTCCTGCACGAACGTCCCAGGTCTGTTTTTGACTTGGAGATGCAAAACACACGGGTTCAGAATCTTTATTTCACTGTATAGATGGCCACACGGTTTTCTTCCGAAAACAAAATCATAGGCTGAATTAACACATTTCCTTAGATTCTGCCCTTGATGAATTTATTTATTTATTTATTTTTTAATGATTTGGTCATGACCAGTGTAAGAAAAGTAAAAAACCACAATATATCACACTTCTCATTTACAGGGCAGTTGCTGAACCACACCGAGCCTTCGTGAGAAACAGAAAGAGGTGGCTTTTTCTCAGAACAGCTGCTGCCCCCACGTGGGCCGTGGCGAGCAGGCTGCAGGCTGGATGCCAGCCCCACTGGCCCCTCACTGGGCCCCCTGGGCAGGTACAACTCTGGTGGCTGTGGGCCGGGGCCCAACTCCCTCAGAAACCCGACAGGCACGAAGGTTTGCGGGTGTGATCTTTAAAGCATGGCTGCGTGTCCTTAAATTAAGGTAGAAAAGCTGGCTTCACGTGGAACCTGAGAAGTCTGCAACGTCAACATCAGTTTACAGACGGGCCGGCGCTATCTTAAGCACCTTTCTAAAGCTGAACCTGTGTTAGAGCAGAATAAGGAACAAGCAGAACAAATGTGATTTTCCAGTTTGGGGTTTCAACATGTCACTGGCTTTCATATGCGAGTTCTCCTTTTTGGTCTCCTCTAGATTTGAAAAAAGAAGTTGTATCTCACAAATCAACATCAGAAATCCCACATTTCTACTCCAGCATAACACAGAAGTTTCTTCAAGTTAAATGAAGCATCTTTTAGTTTGGCTCCCTAAATGTCTCTCAAATCTCAATACCGCAGTATACTTCACAGTAAATCTTCAGAGTCCTAAATACAGCGGCCAATATATTTGTGCATTTAAATCACATATCTGAGGACCTATCAGCAGTGCACCTATTACGGATACAGCATTGTGCTAGGTTCTCAAAGGATCCAAAATGAATTCAGGTCACACTTGCCCTCTAGGATCGACAATTTACATTAGGAGAGATTACCAGAGTCCTGCAAATAAACACCTCCATTTCCATGTGGCAGCTGTGAAGGTTCGGGGGAGGACGTGCAGGGTGACTTGGAGCACAACAAAGCCACACACGAAAATAAGGAAATACTAGGGATCACATGGTAAGTGCCAGAAAAGAGTCATGTTATTACCTAGTGCCCAAGTGATCGGAAGAAAAGATAACTCCTAAATTTGGGAGGAGGAGGGAGCAGGGGATAATAAAAACACAAATACAGCGTTTTCGAGTTTGATAAAGGGTTTTACCTCATAGGATTTCCCACGTGCATCAGGAAAACGTGGCGATGGTGGTGAGGGCCAACATTATTATTCTATTACAGATGATGAGGAAAACCCCTCGAGAGTGTTATCCAACGTGTTACAACTGGAGCCTGAGATTCGAGGCAAGGTTTTCTGGCTGTAAATCTGCCTTCTCTCTACTACGCTATGTAAACTGAGAAGGCTTACAAGCCAAGGCAATATTTGAATTGGGCTTTAAAAACCGATAAGGGAGACAGAATTTGACTAGAAGGAGTTTGGAGATAGGGTCAGGTCTGGCAGGAGGCTAGGATGGAGAAGAAGCCACAGGCAAAGGGCGGGGATGAGGTTGGGAGGGAATGACTGGACCAGTTTGACACAGCACATGTTTTCAGTGAGGGTAAAGAGCGAGAAGGCTGAAAGGTAGTCTAGAAACAGACAGTGAACTGAAAGAGGGGAGAGTAGGGCCTCACCCCTCCAAGGCAGCGCAAAGATGACAGCCAGGCCATGTTCAAATTCCAGATCCAAGTTATGTCTCCTAGCTATGATCTTATGCAAATTAACCATTCAAAAGGCCCATTTTTCTCATAAAAAGGTAGAAGTGACAACACCTTCTCAGAGCTTGTCTCAGCGTTAAATGAGACAAAGTTAGCGAGTACCCAGCACACACGGGAGATGTAAACAAACCCTAGCTCCTTTCTTCCTGGCAGGAGGGGGTTTTCCAGGCCGAAGCTCCCCCTAACCCCATTCCTTCTCCCTGAGGTGCCCGCTCTGTGCCTGGAAGTCCTGCTTTGCTAGGACTGGCTCAAGAGAAGGCAGTTACATGAAAGCTGGAAACAGGGAGATACAGATGCGTCCAGCTCAGACCATGCGTAGGAACACTCAGTGAAGAGCTTTGCCTTGATTCTAGAACCCAGGACAAGGCAGCTGAAGGCTCAGAGCTGGAGAGAGGGTGAGGAGTTATGTATTAAGATCAGCCCGGGCCGGGTGCGGTGGCTCACGCCTGTAATCCCAACACTTTGGGAGGCCGAGGTGGGTGGATCACGAGGTGAAGAGATCGAGACCATCTGGTCAACATGGTGAAACCCTGTCTCTACTAAAAATACAAAAATTAGCTGGGCATGGTGGTGCACCCCTGTAGTCCCAGGTACTCAGGAGGCTGAGGCAGGAGAATTGCTTGAACCCAGGAGGCGGAGGTTGTGGTGAGCCGAGATCGAGCCATTGCACTCCAGCCTGGGTAACAAGAGCGAAACTCCGTCTCAAAAAAACAAAAAAAAGATCAGCCCGTGTAGGCAGATTGGAGCAAGGAGTTGTGACAGCTCTGACAAGGTGAAGAACTCAGAAGTAGATGTCAGGAGACCCGACTGGAAAGTGTGGTCAGCTACTAATGACCATGTAGCCTTGGGCAAATCACTTTCATCCCTGATCTCAAGTTCCCATTTGTAAAACATGAGGCAGACCCAACACCAACCTCATAGTGCAGCTGCAATAGAAACTAAATGAGAAATGCGAGTAGCTAGACAGCCTAACTGCAAATGCCTCCCAAACTTTAGGCAACAAGTAATACATGACAGTGACAACGTTTTGCATCCACAGCTACTGAAACACATTTTTATGTGCACATAAATTTAAAGAAGCTGTCGGTATTTAAACTTCCTCAAGAGGCTCTCCAAACTTTGACTTTGCTTGCAATTGTTTTCGAAGCCCGTTTTTCGGTCCTAGAGTATATAACTGGACATATCAGGTGCTATATGAAACCTTGGGAACTGTCTAGACTAGGGGTTTTAAAATAGTGACTGGGGGTACCCTAACATTCTGCAGAGGCCCACGGAGGAATGTGGAACACATGTAAGGCATTCTGGGTCTTCTCGACCTTTCTTCAAGCAGCTCGGCTACCCTTTGATCTGCTGGACAGGCCGAGGGTTCCGCTTGGGAGCGCACTTGAACAAAGCATGCCATGCGGTGAAGGGCTTGCTTAGGAGACGGGCAGACCCTGGCTTGCATCCTGGCTCCGCCACTGAGAAAGGCTGTGAACTCCTCAAATTCTTCATCCATAAAGAGGGAATGACAGTACCTTTCTTGGGACAATGAATGGGATAACATTTACAAAGTCCTTTACATAGTGCCTGGAACACAGCATGCTCTGGGTAAATGACACCTTCTATTACTGGCCACATTGCTAACCCCAAGAGACTCTCCTGGTCGTCTGTCCCATTCACTTCACCATCAAAAAAGGAGAGAACTGACATCAAAGAGGCCAGGGACACAAGGACACAATGGGGTCAGGGAGCTAAAGGTGGAGCTTTCCGGAGGAACAGAGGAAAGCACTTGCTTCCAAATACTGGGATTTCAGGGTTCTACTTTTCCCCTCTTTCCCCCCTTGCCTCTTCATTTTCTCTGAAGTTATAGCTGCTGCCCAAGGAATGGTGACACATCAGATCCTTCTTCCTCTTGGGAGCACAGACTTAGCTCCCTATCCTTCTGAAACCAACCAAGAACCAGGGTGGGACCCAGGCCACCTGATTCCAGGTGAAGAAGGCCTCCTCCATCTTAAAAACCAACCTGCCTAATTCACCAGAAAGGAGAACGATGTTATGGCTAGGAGTTAACTCTCTAACTTGTAAACGTGCACAGGAATTTTTCGAGTGTGTCCTCTTTGGGGAAATTCTGGGGACTCTAGGGGGGGTCAGCTGTCGTCGAGAAAGCCACTGAAAAGAGATTCAGAGTTGGCTGGGCACAGTGGCTCATACCTGTAATCCCAGCACTTTGGGAGGCTGAGGTGGACAGATCACAAGGTCAGGAGTTTGAGACCATCCTGGCCAACAAGGTGAAAGCCCATTTCTATCTAAAAATACAAAAATCAGCCGGATGTGGTGGTGTGCGCCTGTAATCCCAGCTACTCAGGAGGCTGAGGCAGAAGAATCGCTTGAAACTGGGAGGCAGAGGTTTCAGTGAGGCGACATTGCACCATTGCACTCCAGCCTGGGCGACAGAACGAGATTCCGTCTCAAAAAAAAAGAGAGATTCAGAGTTTCAGAAATCTTGACCCTGCTCAGCTGGCGTGGCTGCCACCCTGTGTGCTTCATCTACGGAAAGCTGAACAACTGAACTGAATATGAAAAAGAATAACGAGAACAGGGCTTGGCATGGATGCAGATGGAGTGCAATGAATTTTTGTTGACTGCATAAATGAATGAGACTGAAAACCTGAAAAAGAAACATGTTTCAAATGTACATACTATGATAAAGCTAACCCAACATCCAATGTGTAAAAACGGACTTCATTTAATATTTGCATTACTGCTATGAATAATAAATTAATTGTCTCATTAAAACACTTCTAAAAGGCTCCTGCTAGCAGCTAAGGTCTCCTCCATGCGCCTAGGCTTTGTCTGGCTCCGCATGGCAGAGGGGAAAGATCTTTGAGAGGAGGCCTGGGTTCCTCCGGCCTCTGCTATTCATGAGCAGGTCAGAGAACTGAGCTTCGGCTCCCATTATTATAGGAATCATCATCTGCCCTAAATACCCATAGGTATACAGTAAGAAAACAAATGTAAAGCACTTTCTAAACCATAACATATAGCACTCATGGTTGATTCATAATGATGGTGTTGGTGGCTCCCTCACCCTTCCCACCTGGAATCTTCTCCAGGGAGGAGAAATACGGGGCAACTCTTTCCTGTAGTACAACAGCTTTGCTTTGCAGAGCCCTCTCCTCTACCCCTTCCAGCTCTGCATTAACTGTTGCCCCAACCATTCACACTTGTCATTTAATTACTGTTCACAGAGAGGTGGTTAAGTGGAGCGTTCAACACTCAGGCAGAGGTGCACTGGAACCCCGCCTGTGGCACTTCCTACTTGGGAGACCCTGGGCAGGCCACCTTGACATCTCTAGGCTCATCTACATGGGGATGATGAGAATTCGTACAGACACACTATGAAGAGCAAATCAGGTCTTTCGGGTAAAGCACTCAATGTCCTGCCTTGCACACAGTAAGTGCTCAAACAATTGTAGCCCTTTCGATTGCTGAATACTGCTCCCTGTTCCCCGAATTTGTCCAATTTCCTCCCCAACTGGATTTGAATCCCCAAGATCAAGGTCCCTGTCCTATCCATTTCTGCGACTATCTCTGACCCCACTCCCATCCCAGAAGAGAGCTGAGTTCAGAGTATTTTCTCATAAAGACATTGGCTGAATTGATTTAAAGCAACTGTTTTCCTTCAAACGGTGCTTAAATCTTTATCCCAGTCCCATCGCTTGAGAAGGTCAATGTCCACAGGGTAAAGTAACCTCTTCTGACCCTATTATCCAATTAAAAATATGTGAGTAGGCTGGGCATGGTGGCTCACACCTGTAATCCCAGCACTTTGGGAGGCTGAGGCAGGCATATCACGAGGTCAAGAGATCGAGACCATCCTGGCCAACACGATGAAACCTGATCTCTACTAAAAATACAAAAAATTAGCCAGGCGTGGTGGCATGCGCCTGTATAGTCCCAGCACTTGGGAGGCTACGACAGGAAAATTGCTTGAACCCGGGAGACAAGAGGTTGCAGTAAGCTGAGATTGTGCCACTGCACTCCAGTCTGGGTGACAGAGTGAGACTCCATCTCAAAAAAAAAAAAAAAAAAGTGAGTAATTCCTAAAGCACACAGCCAAGCCATTTATACCACCGAGCTACCCCACCACGTGAGATGTGCTACCTTAGTTAACAGACTAAAAATGTTCCAGAGAAGTGGACTTGATGTAGAAACCTCTGTCACATTCTGGAAGACTCTTTTTCACCTAGGACATAAACTTTGATCTTACAGATACAGACAGTATTAAAGAGAACACATATAATGTAGAAAATCCTATAGAACATCCCTGGGACAGTGCGTCAGTATTTTGTTATAAAAGAAAGAGTACCAAACCCCCTTGGATGTCAAAAGCTTTCCATAAAATTCCACGTCTTTCTGGACAGGCTTTAGCAATTTATAAAATAAACATGACTGAAATGCTTAAATCTATGTTTTGAAAAGGATAACTATAAAACTATAAACCATAACACTGTCAACAAAAAATTCCTACTTTCAGAGACCATCAGTAACTATTCCCAATTGCTCCAGAAATCATGCTGCTGTAACAATTTTTGTTATTTTTTTAACCCACCTGGAGATCACAAAATAAAAATGTTATTTGGGAACCAACTAGGTCGTGCCTTCAGAATGAGCAAAAGATTGGGAATAACACACAGCACACTCCCGGGCGGTTCAGTCTTTTGTCTCTTGGTGTTGAAGGCCTTCTGGAGCAACCACTCTGAAAGTGTATCTATCCCAAGCCTGGTCTTTCATTGGAATTCTTGTATCTTCCTCAACTCGGACTAGGAAGAAGGAAAGCCACTATGTCTACCATCTTCGGGAGCTTCCAGCTCACCGAGTCCTGGGCACTGGCGTCCTGTTGCTCTTCAGATTCCCCTCTCTTATCCTTATAATTCACTTCCTTCACAGCATCTTTACCATTTTCCTAACACACAGAAGCAAGCACGGGAAAGCCTGCGTTGCTAGACAAGAACTAAGTCAAGGATATGATGATCCATTTGTATCGCAAATGTGAATTTTCTACTAAAGGGCAAATTCTTTATTTCAAACGGCTATACAGAGTGGTACTTTAATAATAAAGAATTCCAACTGACCAGCTGAGTGCGGTGGTTCACGCCTGTAATCCCAGCACTTTGGGAGGCTGAGACGAGTGGATCACCTGAGGTCAGGAGCTGGAGACCAGCCTGGTCAACATGGTAAAACCCCGTCTCTACTAAAAATACAAAAATTTAGCCGGGCATGATGGCGGGTGCCTGTAATCCGAGCTACTCGGGAGGCTGACTGAGGCAGGAGAACCACTTGAACCCGGTAGGCGGAGGTGACAGTGCGCTGAGATCGTGCTATTGCACTCCAGCCTGGGCAACAAGAGCAAAACTCAGTCTCAAAAAAAAAAAAGAGTTCTAACTGTTCAAATTTAGGGGGCTGGAAAGCCTGAAATCCATGAATATTCTCTTTCTGGGCCACAGCATTTCACTTGATTATTAACCTTTTGGCTTCTTGCTCTCCTAACAGTAAACAGGCACTGGGAGCAGCGCTGGCCCCAGTACTATTCTTTCCCTCAGCAGAAGGATCCATGTGCCCTCAGTGATCGCTCATGTAAGAAATGCTGACATTTCCCTCCTATTTTCCTCTCAACTTATATATTAATATTTGACTTCTTCCCCATGCATCCCGACCCACTCTTTCCACCCCTCAAAGCAAAACCAGAGAGATTCTGGCGAGAGCTTCGTCTGAAGGAAGACCCACACTGGGTCTGAGCAGCAGTCCTGCTACCTGAAGTTCCCCTTAATGGGGTAATTCTGGCCTTGCTTGTAATTGCTCTCACTCTGACACCTCTCGTGTTCTGCTTCCTTGCTGTGCAGTGCTGGGCCCTCACTCTGCTACCTGGGACTGCAGAGGTCCAAGACCGATAAGGCTGAAGCCAAACGCCACCATCTACTCTCCACTCTGACCTTATGGGTATTTCACTCTTAGAGGCAAAATCCTATTTTTGGCTGATGGTGTGCAAATAAAAAACTTACACATCCCAAGTCCTTCCTGCACAGTATTTGCACCAACACTGCACGTGGAAAAGGTCGCAATGTTTGTGGCTACCTACCCAGCCATCGGGCAGCTACGCTTGCTGGAAAGTCTCGGAGATGCTGCTTTAGCTCTGCTCACCCCTGAGGTGAGCTGGGAACAAGGATGGTAGGAGTTCCTTGCATGCAGCTCCCCCTACCCCAAAATGCTGGTGTCAAAGGAGCACAAAGCCAGGAACGTGAGGAGCTACCCGACGATAACTAGCACTATCAAGAGCTGGTTAGGCAGACAATCACACTTTTATTTTCCTTATGCTTTTTGACTGTAGATTTAATTTAATTTTGTCATGGCAGGATTAGCAACTGGGCCACAGAGGTGAAGGGACATTATAATAAGACAGCACATTAATCCTCTATCCCACCCAAGGCAGAAGCAAAACCAAACAAATAGCAGCTTCCTGGAAATTGAATTTCTGTTATCCAGATGTCAAAGATGTAATACCCCAATTACACAAACTATTGCCAGTGAAGCATGCCAGCGAATATGCAATGTAAATGGGGTGAGCGCAGAGCCACAAAACTGCACAGTCAGCATCTGGCTCTGTGAGTGAGTGATAATTAGCACTGTGTGTAGACACTAATAAACATTTATGTCTGAAATTACAACTTTTAGCAATGTTAATAAGGGATATATTGGCAATCTGTAAAATAAAAGGTCTTGAAAAGAATGTCATACATTAAGCCACGGCAGACATTTCCCGTTCCTCAACAATTTCCTTTTTTCCCCCTAATTGCAAATGGCCACGATGTTTTGCTGAGAAATTAATTGACACAGGAACCTACCTAAAAAAATGGGTTGTGTCTCTTTGGCCTCCCCATTAACATCGCTGCTGAATTCTGGGATCTTATATACCTCATGGTGATAATCTGGCATGAGAAAACAACCAAAAATTAGCCTCCTAATGACTTCAAGACAGGCATAAGCAGTCAAGTCTAGACTCTCATTCTATTTAGTATGTATAATCTATAATTTTTAAATAAACTTTTTGAGAAGTCAATTATCACAGAATTTGTACTCAATAATAATTCCTAAAACGTGCTTATTCTGGAGTACGAAAACTTGGAAAATTACTTTGACTAGAGAAAACGGCTTGGCTTGATCACATCATTTTCACGGTAAATTGTGCCCACAGCTGCCAATTTTTAGGCTTCTTTTCTTTGAGGTGACAAGTATGTTTACAAGGAAAAGAAATATCTCGCCCAATCATAGAGCAGGGGAGGTTTCCAAATTTCTCCTCACAACCCATTTTCACCAGTATATCAACAGTATGCTTTAAAGTTAGACAGCACTGCAGTTTTCTCAGTTTACCCAGCAAACCTCAGCCTTTAAGCAGCTTAAAGGCAAGCACACATGTTTCGTTATTTCAAATGTATAGCATAATTTGGATAAGAAAGCAAGATTTTCATCTTTCACACAAATGACTCTTTCGCATTCAAGCTACTGTACTTTATTTAATATGCAATACTTTATTTTCTAAAACCACACCTGCAGAGAGAGAAGAATCAGACCCATAATTTGCCAAAAAAAAAAAAAAAAAAAAAAAAAAGAAGGAAAGAAAAAAGGAAAAACTTGCTATGTCAGTCAAAGTTTAAAATACAACACTTTACAAGCTTCTCTATGGAGGCTACTGCACTTTGGCTTCCATTTTTGATAAGTAGGGTTACCTAGAAATAAAAATAGAGTTTCCTCCTTAATACCTACTCCCCTTCCTTTGGCCTTAGACCTCACAGGACAAGGTCAACAAAACTACTCTCACTTTTAAGATAAAGCAGTTAAGTTCTCTGCGGTCAACAAGAAGCAGCAGCCTACCTTCCTGAATGTATCAGATAGCAGCACTAACAGGGCAGTCACCCAGACAGAGACTTTTAAAAGTCCAAGTAACTGAGTAATCAACACGGATGTGGAAAAAAAAAAATTTACTCAGAAAGTGGGAAGAGCCAAGTATTTTGAATGAGTGAAACGATTTCAGGCCTCTTTCATTAAACAGTATCCAAACTAAATTAGGGGAAAGAGATAAGAATAGATCTTCAAAATGCCTATAATCAAACCATTTTCATCACGAACCAAATCCACATCTTAGCTAGCTTAACTCAGTTTGAAAAATTCGATTACTTGCAATTGTCCACAATTTTTCACTAATTTTCATCAGTTTACACGTGACTTTGGCAGTTGTTGAAGAGTTTCTACTCTGATGCCATGCTAGAGAAAACGACAGAGGAAAAGTGGACAGGTTCTATGGCTTTGACCTCAACTTGATTCAAAGACGACATTTAAACAGAGCGAGTGTAAACTCAATATGAGGACTGGTGACATTACAATGAGAAAAGTCATCTGCCCCTAATTAAAGATGACAATGCATTTTGAGACATATTTTCACGATGGCTCTTACCTTAACATTTTTTAAAAAAGTGAAATCAGGAAGATGAAGACACTTAACAAGTAACCGAACACAAGACTGTATTCCACTTTCCCCTCCCTGACCAAATAAAAACCCAAGAGTGTGGTGTACACCTGTTAATTCATCAGGAACTAGCTGGATGTCTTTTCTTTCCTTTCTTTTTTTTTTTTTTTTTTTTTTTTTAAGGATACTTATCTGACTGCTACGTGATAGTGTAAAACACCTTTCCAACCCAAATCAGCTAGCTAGAGATGTTGGATGACAATAATTACACCTTGGGCTTGGACACCGCATGAGCTTCTTTCTCCTTCTTAAAAAGAACAACAACGGGCATCCTTTTTCCTCCTCTTGGCGGGGGGAAGGGGTTAGACCCCAGAAAACAAAAACAGCAAATCTCAGGTCCGAGGGTCCACGCTCGGCCTGATGGCCAGGCAGGTCCGCGGCCGCCCCGGCCCAGCCCCGGAGGCGCCCCGAGGAGGGCTCTGCCCCCCGGTGTCATTGTTTGCTAATTTCCTGAGCTGCCCTCCGACTTGTTTACGTTAAATAACACCCCACCTCCCCCCGCGCAACTTTCCCCGCCGCCCGGCGTGTGCGGCCGCGGCCCTGCCCGCCAGCTCGGCGGAGGCACCGGGCGAGCGGGGAGGACCGGGGGCTCCGGGAGGGCGCGCCCACCGGCGTGGACCCCCGCGGGCGGCCGAGGGCGCGGCGCCCGCAGCCTGCCCCCGCCGCCCGGGCGGCCGCTTACCTCGGCTCACCAGTTTGAAGCTCTGGGATTTCCTGCTTCTTTTCCTCTCGGAGAACTCCATGGTGCGGGGAAGGCGGCGGCGGCGGCTGAGGCGGCGGCGGCGCGGGCTCGTGTCACCGCCGCGAAGCCGCCGGGACCAAGGTCCGCGCCTGGAGTCGGCGGGGGGAGGCCGCGGGACGGGAGGAACCACCGCGAGCCCGCTCGGGGCTGCTGGCGCGGGGCCCGGCGGCGCGGGCTCCCGGGTGAAGTTGCCCCCGCGCGGCGCCGCCTCCAGTGCCCTAGGCGCCCCCGCGGCCCCCGCTCATGCCGGCCCGCGGGTTCCAGACGCCGCCCGCCGCAGCCCAACTTTCCGTTGGGAGCGGGCCGGGCGGGGGCGCGGCGGCGGCGGCGGCGGCGGCGGCGGCGGGGGCGCGGGGGCGCGGGGGCGGGCGGCTCGGGGCGGCCGGCCCGCCTGGGCTCAGCCTGCGGACGCGGTGGCGGCGGCGGCCCCGGGGACGCGGCGGGCGGGCGGGCGGGCTGCGGGGAGGGCGGCGGCGGGTGCGGAGCCGGCCGGGGCGCTGACCGCCCCCGCGGGAGGAGGGGCGCCGGCGGAGGGGGCGGCGCCGCCGGGACCCCGGGGCCACCTGCTGGCGGAGCCCGGCCGCCGCCATCCCCGGGGGCCGCCGCCGCCGCGGGCCTGGTCGTGCGGCGCCCCGAGGAGGCGCGGAGGCCGCGGCGCAGCGCCCCGGCCGGGGCCCGACCGGCCTGCCTGCCCCCGGGGACGCCGCCGCCCGGGCCTCCGCTCGCAGACCCCGCTGGCCGGCCTCCCTCCGCCGCCGCTGGGCCGAGCTCCTCTGAGCACCTCGCGGTGGGTGCGCGGACCGCCCGGCAGCCACCTCCCCGCCCTCGCATCCCGGGCGCCCCGGGGCCCGACGCGCTGATTTTAGGCAAGTTTTAGGGGGGAAAACTTACCCATCTGCGCTCTCTCTGCATGGACAGGAGGTTTGAGAATATTGTGGAGAAGAGTACAGTGGAGAGAGCGCCCGTGTCCTAACCCAGGCTGGGCGGACTGTGGCAAGAGCCGAGGCACATTGAAGGAGAGCACTTGGAATGGGGGGCCTGGAGAGGGTGGAAGGGCGGAGGGGGCCTGGTGGCCCTGGGGACTCTCAGGAGGCCATGGTCAAGGCTGGTGCAGGGCCCTCTGCCTCTCCAGGTCATAAGTCGAAATCATGGACCTAAACACAAAGCGCTTATTCGTTTTGTGTAATATGCCTCTCAGGGTGCAGCGAGAGCACCCCAGGCACCATTTCTTCCTCACATCTTTGGAGTGGGCCCGGAAAAGAATTTGACACCACCTGGGAATGGCAGGGTAGGAACGTGATGGGACATGCGTGAAAGTATCCGCCAAACCCAACCAGGAAGAGGATAAAGAGTCTGGGCGGGGGGCCAACTCTCCAGCACGGGACAAAGGCTGGGGGCCCCAAAAGAGAAGAGAGGAAAAAGGGGAGGTTGACAAATGTAATGGAGTGTCACCATGGGTCCCACCCAAATGAGGCGGCCGCTGAGGGGCCGCTCTTATTTCAGGGACACAGAGCAGGATGACTGCTGAGGAAGGGGGACATTGAGGCAGCTTGCAGAAACACACATGGAAAAAACAGAACCAAAGAACAGGGTAACCAGCAAACCAGGCAATGGAGGCAGGGATGGTACCATCCCGAGGCCTTGGGTGGTACCAAAAGTGGCACACCAGGCAGGCTGGTTATACCTGGCATGGAGGGGAGAGAGCTGTTCTTTCCGTTCCATAAAGCAAATCCTCCAACAGACGTTCATAACCTTTTTGGTCACTGTTTCCTTTGAGATTATGTTCAAAGAGCCCCTTTTCCCAGAAAATATGTGTGGGACACAAAATTTGGTACAGATTTCTTGTAGTTCTTCGACATGCTTGATGCTCTCAGAAAATTAGTGGTAACAGTAAGGCAACTACCCTATTTGGGTTTCTTCCTTCCTTACCATCCCTTTCTTTAAAACCACACATCAAAACCTAAAGATGTTTTGGATTTTTTTTTTTTTTTTTTTTTTTTTGAGACAGAGTCTCATTCTGTCACCCAGGCTGGAGTGCAGTGGTGCGCGCGATATCAGCTCACTGCAACCTCCCCTCCCAGGTTCCAGCAATTCTCCTGCCGTAGCCTCCCGAGTAGCTGGAATTACAGGCACATACCACCATGCCCAGCTAACTTTCTGTATTTTTAGCAGAGATGGGGTTTTGCCCTATTGGCCAGGCTGGTCTCAAACTCCTGACCTCAAGTGATCTGCCCACCTCAGCCTCCCAAAGTGCTGGGATTACAGGAGTGAGCCACCATGCCAGCCTGTTGGGGATGTTTTTAAAGAAGCAAAGCATACTATTTTGTTCCCCAGGCTGGGATCCATTCTTTCTTCATGTAATGCCTTTTAAAATGTTATTCTCAAAGACGTGAGGCTAAGTTCTACACCGACTGAGGAACTTCCAGGATCGTTCATGCCTTGGAGCATATAATGAGATTTTATTATGCTTCAATTATGATGAACTCAGTGAAGGTGTCATCCCAAGAAGTAAATCCCTGGAGAAGGTATTAACAACTTAGCATTTCCAGTTCAAGTGGGAATGCAAATTCCATTTACCAAAGAGAATATTTTTGTTATAGTTAAGAAAATATTTGAGTAATAACATTTTTAAATAGTAATCATTTCTCCTTAACCCTTTTTAACCTGGCCTTCCGAAGATGGTCTATGAGTGAGTTGGCCTGCAGAGGACACAGGCTAGGCCTGTCCTTTTAGCTTGAAGAGAAAATGTCTGTTTACTCTCTACTTGGTGTAAATCACTATGCTCTTATCTAACAAAAATGTATATATCACATTTAGTATCAAGATTAATTATAATATTTAACTAAAATGAGATCACTTGGGGCCTGGTGTGGGGGCTCACACCTGTAATCCCATCACTTTGGGATGCAGAAGGGTTGCTTAAGGTCAGGAATTCAAGACCAACCCGGATAACATCGTGAGACCTGGTTTCTACCAAAAAATGAACATACAAAATAAAACAAAGTGAGATTGCTTTAAGTGGCAGCTATTCACGTAGTAGCCTCTCTATCCTTGGGGAATATGCTCCAAGACCTTCAGTGGATGTCTGAACCTGAGGTTAGTACCAAACCCCATATATACTATGTTAGTATCGAACCCCACGTATATGATGTTTTTTGGTTTATGTTTTCTGATAACTAAACCAACTACCAAGTGACTAATGAGCAGATAGTGCAGACAATGTGGACGCACTGGGCTAAAGAATGATTCCCGTCCGGGCCAGAAGGAGAGGGTTGGCTAAAGATTTCATCATGCCACTCAAAATGGGCCACAATTTAAAACATATGACTTGTTTATTTCTGGAATTTTCCATTTAATATTGTGGGTAACTGAAATCATGGATAAAGGCGACTACTGCGTTAGCCTTCTTAGGCTACCTTAACAAGTACCACATACTGGGTGACTTATACAACAGAAATTAATTTTCTTACCATTCTAAAGGCTGGAAGTTGGAGATTTGTGGCTGGCAGGGTCAGTGTCTGGCAAGGACTCTTTTCTTAGCTTGCATATAGCTACCCCTTACATGGGATAGGGAGACCACGATCTTTCTCTCCCTCTTTTTGTAAGGCCACCAATCTTATCAAATCAGCGCTCTGCCTTTATGACCTCTTTTAACCTGAATTATCTTCTATTAAAGGCTCAGTCTTCCAGACAACAGTCACATTAGGGGTTAGGGCTTCAACATATGAATTTGTGGGGGACACAAATCAGTCTGCAGCCATCTTGTTTTCATTCAAATATAGTGTCTGTATTGGGGGGGGTTCTGGAAAGGCTTCTAGGGGATCTACTAAGGTCGTTTTTTTGCCTCATTCCTCAAAGCCTTCTAAAGTTCCAGAACCACAGGTTTATGTGTTACCGAAGATCAGAGATAATTGGTCAAATATTCAATGACATCACGCAAACCAAACATTTTTTTAGATGACCATGCTTAAACCCACTCGATTATAAAGATTACATGTTGGTTTCAATCCTTGACAAAGCCAGATAATTTGGCCAGAAAGCATTAAGTAAACTTAACCGTAATAAAACTGAAAACTGTCCTGAGAGGAATAGTGTGAAAAGTTTCATCTTTATTTAGAGCTCTGCTGTCGAATAAAAATACAATGCAAGTTATATAGGTAATTTAAAATGCTCTATTAGCCACACTGAAAAAAAGTAAAAATAAACAGATGAAATTCATGTTACTAATTTATCTTGTTTAAGTGAATACATTAAAATATTATCATTTGACATGTAATCAATATGAGAATATTATCTAGATAGTTTATATGCTTTTTGTTGTACAAAGTTTTGAAACTGGTATGCTTCTTACCCTTAGATTACAGATCAATTAAAACTAGCCAGATTTCAGATTCTCCATAGCCACATGTCATTGGTGGTGACTACATTGGGCAGCTCAGATTTAGAAGGAATGTCTGATTTGAACCATGCTATGTACATAGATGTAGTCTGTCTACAACTTGATTATCGTTTAACTGTTTTATTAATAATCCTCAAAAAGAAGATGAGCAGAATGGGATGATTGGGCTTCAGGCTTTTTATAATCTTTGATGGGATTTTCTGGAATTGAATATGCTGTCATTAAATAGATTCTGCGAATCCTTCAGGAAGATTTAATAGTATGAATATCTACTTTGCAGTGTTAGGACAATCACCCATCATGGAAAGAATGGACAGCCCTCCTTTTAGCACCTGTTCCCTAAGCGTGGCTGGCCTAATGCAGTTCTACACTCGTTTACTCCCTTGGTTTTGGTGATTGTAATTGAAGAGAAAGGGGCAGTATTTATGAGATTACATAAGTGAAGATGAGAGTCGGAATTTTCCATGAATAATATTATCCTATATTTATACAGGGCTTCTTTTATAGCTCAAGCATATGTATACATTATCTAATACTCTTAATAGTGCTATGTGATTGGTATATATTAATATTCCAATTTTGCAATTGAGAAAAATCCATTCTTAAGTTCATTTTTTAGTGAAACCAGAATGGTCTGCTGTTTCCTGACTCTTAAATATGACGCATTAACTTTAATTTTTCT